AACGGAAAGTAAGCATTGTCCCCTTTTAACCATCGATACGACTATGTAATCACAAACATATGCATAATGAAATTGCTTAGCATTTTTGTGTATGAACCAAGGCTTAGATAAAGTGTGACCGCGATCAGCAAGACAAATTGATTCGTCTCCTTTTTCAAAGCAGCTCAAAATCCTCATATTTTAAGTGTATAAATTAAGCACTAATTGTTTTCATTAAATTCTAATTCTTATTCCTGGAATATGATGTAATGTTTAGCCTAGTTTATTTGGCGCATAGCTGCGTAGATACTATAATCAAAAAGATTACGACCTCATGTCCTCTACCTCTGAGTTGGACCCGAAGGCTTCCCGATATAGAGGCGATCGCATAAACATATTATTTTGTAGAATCCCGATATAAATTATGAGTCAATATTCTCTCTAATACTAGACATAACTTAATAAAGTATCATAGTTTCCCTGAAAATCGTTTATATTGCCCACTTCGTCACCAGTTCGCCAGATAAAAGGCTCAAAGGTAAGGTCAGGATATAGGAATATGTATCAAATATTCTCCACAAAATATGCACTCCTCATTAATCTGGTGTTATATTCAATAAAGCCAAGAGGATAATTATTCTCAGCTAATGCTTTTGAGGCCACCTAGTTCATTATTCCAGTGGCCTCCATCAGCTAATCTTATACTCAAATAATCATCGATTTTAAAATCGCAATCCTAGTTCAGTAATTTTGGTTGGAGAAAAAGTTAAGTATAAAGCCAGAATATGCTGGTTTCCTAAAGGCATCTCGGTCCGATTTTGTAACTGTCCTGATAAACGAAACATCAACAAATTATAAACTATTATTTTTCTCTATTTCCAATATGAACTTAATATTACTATTTTCTATGTAAGTTCTTATTTATTATCATTATCCTGCTAAATAATTAAGAAAAATAGACTATCGATTCTAGTCTTACCATGCTAGATAACCATGCATATATAGAACTAATAGGTTTAGCATCAAATTTGCATATTTCGTGAGGCGCTTTAAATT